TCAGAATGTCTGGTAGACTCTTTCATGAAGCAGGAACTCCGAAGAATTGTCTCACCTTTAGGCAAGTTCAGCAGTCATTTTTCTGTGGGTCCTGCATGTCCAGTTCATACAGCATAACATCAAGCAGTCCAGGCAAGAGCAGTTTCTTGCCGAAATGGCTAACAAACTCCATAAGGAACCTCTTTGATGTCCATCATCCTCTTGAAGTAGATAGGTGCTGCCAAGAGCAGATATGTTTCATTGTCATGAAAAGTCCTAAGTTTTTAAAACATTTAAATATCATATTCTGTTAGTCTTTGAAAGGTTTGAAGAAAAACTATCCATCTGAAATATATTTCTATGTATCTTTGTATATCTAGAAAACCTAACATAATTAAGTTTGATTATTATAGATGACTATCTGTTAACTTGTATTTCTTAATTACACATTATATTTTTAAGTGAGCTGCACAAAATATCTTAATCAAGAGCAGGTATATACATATAACAAGGTTGTTCTTAAATTTGAATTAATAAACCAAGATCCATACCAATGCAAATTATCTATCTCTATAGTATATCCCCCTTTATATTTAAACAAACATTTATAAACAGTAATTTAGGGAATTTGGGAATAGTTCTCTCTAAATTGCTTCCTGCTTTTTGTTGGGTGAAGTAATTTTCGAGTTTGCAGAGACCTTTCAGAGGGTCTTGGCCTATCAAACAACATTAGTCTGGAAGGAATCCACAGGTTCTCATCCTTTGTGGAAACAAAAGCAGAACCTCTTTTCCAAAACAACATATCCTTAGACTCAAATTTTGAAGTAAAGTATATATACTGGTTTAGCTCAGCAGCACATACAATGAAATGTCTCTCTGCACTTAGCTGATTCACAGTCAAAAAATTCAAAGAAAACACAATAATATACATAATCCAGACTCTCTGTGTATTTTCTATCTTTACATGTCTTATTTTTCTTTACTCCTTTAATCTATGACTGTCTGTACTCTGTCTTTTTAAAGACTTTATTTTATTTATTTATTTATTTAAAAATATTTACTTTTTTAAAAAATAACTATTTCTTCTCTCTCCCAAGCCTACACTGTGATCCATTTAGAGGTCTTTTCCATCTGGATTTGTCTATATCTGTAATTACTTTTTGACCAGGAGTGCTTTTATTTATTTATTTAGTTAGTTTTTCGATACAGGGTTTCTCTGTGTAGCTTAGGAGCCTGTCCTGGAACTAGCTCTTGTAGACCAGGCTGGCCTTGAACTCACAGAGATCCACCTGCCTCTGCCTCTCAAGTGCCTTTAATCAAAGGCATATGTCACCACCGCCTGGCAGGTGTGCTTTTTTTTTAATGCTAAGTGGGTGTGGCTAAGACCAACTCCATGGCCCTTCTTGTTGGCTCCACCCAGTCCAACATGGTAGAGGCATGTTCACTGCCTCAGAGCCATGCATATTGCCCCAGCCCCAGGGTTGCAGTGGGTCTGTGTCACCATTAAACAATTTGTAACACACTGCTCACAGACCCTCCTTAAGTGCTCAGCCTCCTGAAAGGACCAGAACTATTCGTGCAAGTAGCATGTACCAAGAAGCTACTATTTTGAAATCATGAGGATTTTTTTAGTTTTTGTGTTTTTGTTTGTTTGTTTTTTTTTTGTTTTGTTTTGCTTTGTTTTTGCTGTTATCTCAATCAGAAAGACCTCTCTTAAAGGAGCTGTGCTGCCCCTGCTCACCACCAGCAAACAGAATCCTTCCCCTCCCAAAAAAAATGCCAGCTACCAAGAAGTCATGCTAAACTCTGTTCTTTGTGTCTAGAATTCCTTTCCAAGCTTTCTCAGGTTTTATATGGACATAGTCAGCACCATACTGGTACACTAATCTGTTGTGGGAGGCTGTTTGCTCACTCCCAGCTGCCCAGACCCAAAAATAATCACACAGAAACTATATTAATTGCAATACTGTTTGGCCAGTAGCTTAAGCGTATTCTTAACTAGCTCTTATATCTTTTGTTTATTTGCTTGGTTTTTTTTTTTTTTTTTGAGACAGGGTTTCGCTGTAGTTTTACAGCCTGTCCTGGAACTAGCTCTTGTAAACCAGGCTGGCCTCAAACTCACAGAGATCCAGCTGCGTCTGCCTCCCAAGTGCTGGGATTAAAGGTGTGCACCACCACCTCCTGGCTGCTCTTATATCTTAAATTAACCAATTTCTATTAGTCTGTGTATTGCCGTGTGGTTGTGGCCTACTAGTAAGGTTTTATCCAGCATTCAGAGTCTGTCTCCTGCGATGGTTACATGGCTTTTCTCTGACTCTGCCTACTCTCTCTCTCTATACATCTCCCAGCCTGACTATATTCTGTTAAGCCCTTGGTTCAAAGTAGCTTTTTTATTAACCAATGGCAATAAAACGTATTCACACCACACAGAGGGGAATCCCACATTAATGCTTCGTGACTACATAGAAAGCAGAAAATTTAGAAAGGAACTAGACAAAGTTAATAAGAAAAGTTATTTAGATGATGGAACAATGAAGTAAGTTGAGGGTAAAGCTGGTGTGGGGTGTCGAGGAGACTGTCCCCTAATACTTGGTGGCCTTGGAAGAGAAAAGTGAGAGATGGGAAGTTGGCTGGAGGATTTGAGGTGGTGCCATGGTTAACTAACAGAGGCCACTGAGGAAAAGGCATCAAACTAGAGGATGACCCCAAGTGCCTGAGTCCCCTTGATCAGGTTACAGCACTGTGGGAGGGGCTGGGATGTGCTAGAGGGAGCCAGGCAGGGAGAGGTGGGTGGCTCAGTCCAGGTCTGGAAGTCTAGTGGGAGGGGTGGATGAGGGGCTTTTTCAGCTCCAAAGAGGATTTCACTGGAAGGTTTCTCTAGGGCTAGCCTGGTGGGGAAAGGCTGAGAAGATGCGTGTCCAGGTCACTATCAAAGGTCACTATAAACGATTATCTAGTCCAAGTCCTGGATACTGGGCAGAGCAGTTTGGCCTGGATTGTAGATTCTGGGAACAACTTGGAGATGTATGGACATAGATCCTACCACTTCACCCATTCATGCATTCAGCTGTTGAGACATGGCCTCCTGTCATCCCAGCTGGATTTGAACTCACTATGTAACCAAGGATGATCTTGACCTTCTGGTCATCCTGTGTCCACTCTCAGGTGCTCAGATTAGAGGTGAACCTCTTTAGACGGAGGTTGCTTGTTTGTTTCCTGGCTGCTCAGACACAAAATAATTGTTGGGCCCTAAAGCCCCACCAAGGAGGAGGTCGTCCCAAGAGACACTCTCAGCACGGCTGATACAATACCAAGAGGAATTTTTATTCTGCCACGGCAGAGGTCCTTCAGCCTCGAGAGGAGAAGGACCCCGGCTTTGTCTACTACAGGTTCTTTTAAAGGAAAAATCACAGAATTAGGGAGGGGGTGGTACAGGGTACAGGGTGGTACAGAACACAGAATCAAAGGGAAAGTCCAGAAATCATTTGTCAACCATTTTGACTAGTTCATTTAACGGTTGGCTAACTCTAATTAATCAATGCTATGGTGATTAGGAACATCTGTGGGTCGTCTCACCCCAGTTCCAGGGCCCGGGTCTATAGAAGAAAAATTACAATGGGGGTGGAAAGTACGCAAAGCCCCAATACACGCGTGGTTAGAACCTGGGTCTTGGTTCACAAGGAGGGGGGTGTAGTAGTGCTAAGGCACCCCAAAGTCTTTCATAATCACAAAGAAACTGTTAATTAAAACACTGCTTGGGCAATATCTTAGGTTTTTTATTAACTAACTTTTACATCTTAAATTAACCCATTTCTATTATTTTATATTTTAACATGAGGAAATGTTAACTATAATATTGGAATGTCTACCTTGCTCTATTCTGTCCTGTCATAGGCCCAAGTAGCTTTTTTATTCATTAACCAATAAAAGCAGCACATATACAGAAAGACTTCCCACACCAAGCCTCGCTTACAAGTCTGGAGGTCAACTCAGGATTTTGCATATGCAGGGCAAATGGTCTACCAATTGAATTATATTCTCCAGCCCAAATTTAATTTATATTTTTGAGACAGAGTTCCTCTGTGTGTGCCCCTGGCTGTCTTGGAACTTGCTTTGTAGACCAGGATGGTCTCAAATTCACAGAGATATAGCCAGGCCGTGGTGGTGCACTCCTTTAATCCCAGTATTCAGGGAGGCAGAGGCAGGCAGATCTCTGTGGGTTCCAGGACAGGCTCCAAAGCTACAGAGAAAACCTGTCTCAAAGAAAAAAACAAGAAAAAAGAAAAGTAAACAATTTCTGGGTGGTGGTGGCACACACCTTTAATCCCAACACTTGGGAGGCAGAGACAGGAGGCTCTCTCTGAGTTCGAGGCCAGCCTGGTCTACAAGAGCTAGTTCCAGGACAGGCTCCAAAGCTACAGAGAAACCTTGTCTCGAAAAACAAAAAAACAAAAACAAAAACGGAAAAAAAGGGGGGGGAGGGGCTGCAACCACCACCAGACTAGGTCTTATTTGTTTTTTGAGACAGTGTTTCCTCTGTGTAGACCTGGCTGTCCTGAAACTTGCTCCATAGGCCACGCTGGCCTTGAATTCAGGAATCAGCCTATTTCTGCCTTCCAAACTCTGGGATTAAAGGCACACACCACCACACCTGTTTCCCTAAATTTTTTTCCAGATGTGGTCTCTCTAGATAGGGCAAGCTGACCTTGAACTCACCATGCAGCTGGAACTCCTGGCAACCCTTCTGCCTTAGCCTCCTGAGTGTTGGGGTGATTGGCATGAGCCCCCCTGTCTGGTGAGGTCTGCCTACTTTTCTCTTTACTGTGACATGTGAGTGGATGAACAGCACATTCCACAGATAGGTGTAATAGTACACACATGTGATCCCAGCACGTGTCAGGCCGGAGGATCAGAGCCAGCCTGGGTTATATAACAAGGCTGTCTCATTTGAAATGGCTTGGGGCTGGAGAAATGGTGTCTTAGTTACTTTTCTACTGCGATGAAACACTGTGACCAAGGCAAAGTGTAGCAGAGGAAATTTAATTCTTTATAGTTCCAGAGGCTTAGAGTTTATGAAGGAGACAGAGGTAGGTAGGTGACTGGCAGCTGAGAGTTCACATCTTGATCTGCAAGCAGCAAGCAGAGAGCTAACTGGGAGTGGGGTGAGACTTTTGAAACCTCAGAGCCCACCCTCAGGGACACATCTCCACCAAGGCAACACAGTTTCACCACCTGGGGACCCTGTCATCAAACACAAGCTTATGGGTCATTAAAACCCTCACAGATGGTTCAGCAGTTAAGAGCACTGACTGTTCTTCCAGAAGACTCAGGTTCTATTTCAAGCACCCATATGGTGGATCGCAGGCATCTCTAACTCCAGTGTCTGGGGATTCTATGCTGCCCTCTTCTGGCTTTTGAGGGCATTGGGCATGCACATAATGCTCACATATATGCAGGCAAAATATCCATACACATTAAAAAATAAAGTAAGATAAGCAGAAGGTATATGCAGATTGGAGGTGTCTTCAAGCAGCATGGGTGCAAGGGTGCATAGTATTGTGACTGTGTGACTTGGGTACATATGCTTTTGGGGGGATCTGCTGCCACATGCTTCCCAGTACTATGCGGGAGTCAACGGAGGGTCTGTTGTGTGTGTGTGTGTGTATGTGTGAGAGAGAGTTGTCTGTGTGGGTGGCCCTGAGCTATACATCTGAGTTCTGTGAATCGTTGTGGCATCTGAACTGTGTGGTTCTATACTAAGGGGTCTGGGAGAAGGCACAGGGTTGTCCTTAGTGCTGGCACTGGGTATCCATAACGGGCAGGCGGCATGGTCCTAAGCTGGAAGCCTTAGAGCCAGGCCTGAGTGGTGACTCCTAGGCTGTTGCCCCTGAGAGAATGACCTCTCTCTGAGTAATAATTAACTTGGCCCTGTGAGAAGGATTCAAACTGTGGAGGTGAAGGGGTGGAGCATTCTCAGCACAGGAGGAGGGCTGAAAGTCCTATAGGCAGCTGTGGGGTTATCATTTCCTCCTGCCCACCCTTCAGGTCAGTCACCCTGACCCAGGATAACCGGGTCAAAATATTTCACAAACACTGAGGCACAGACATTAACCAATCAAAACAGACCCTAGCCAGACTCTGAATGGAGCAGGGCTGGAGGCTGGAGCCTGACCAAGCACAGCCTAGGTGACTAGGACAATGGGAATGACTGTCCGAGTGGAGGGTCCCAGGACTGGGGCAGGGCAGAGGCACAATGGAAGGGAACTCAGGGACTCAGGACACAGTGATTTCAGACTTTAACAACTGCGGGTGACCATACCATAGTTAAACCTCTGCCTGCTTTGGCCTCTAAGTTGCTTTTGGGGGCAGCTCTGGCTGCTTTGTTCCCTGGTGCTGGGAGAGTAAAGGGCCAGTATCTCCTGTCAATTGCAGGAAGGGGGTACTCCGAGGGTCAAGAATTCTTGAAAGTAAAGTGGTCTTGTCTACTTTGGGAATGGGGCATTTCTGTGATTAGCTGCAATCCCAATATCTCCAAGGTAAGAGACAATCTCTAGGGGACAGTAACCTGAGAGGGGACAATGGAGGCTCTGGAGACAGGGACAGAAAGCCCCTCTGCTCAGGGAGAAGGATGTGAAGGTGGCAGAGGTGAGAAGAGGCTTTCTGGTGGCTTCTCATTCAGCTGTAAAACAAAGCTTATCCCTAGCATTGGCAGCGCTATCCTGCTCTAGGACATTAGGGAGCTGGCCTCTGGTTCCTTTCCAGGAGTTCCCTCTGGCAAGAGTAGGGCGCACCCTGGAGATTGGCTGGTCCCTTCTACAGGCAACTATGGTGTCAGCTGGTCATACCTTTTATTACAAAAATCAATAACTTAATTTAGTTCTATACAAAGTCAGGAGGAATTCTGGCTTGATGTATACAGCCTTATTCATACTCCCACCCCGGCCCTGGCCCAGAGACTTTGGGGGCCACCAAGGGCCTATTAGGCAGTTAGTAGTACATTGTGTCCAAGCCAAGGAAGTCCAAACGGGGGCTGTGGCTGAAGTGAGGGCTACTCCTGGGGAGTTGAGCTCCTCCCCTTCAGAAGCTCCGGACCCCACTCTGCAGGTCACCGCAGCAAAAGCATGTCTTCGAGCAGTTCAGTGATGTCAACATCTCCGATGATGGGGCGGAAAAAGAGGTCCACCAGCAGGCTGCAGGGGATGTTCTTGAGAGTAGAGGCCATGAGGAGGATCCGGGCCAGGCGGCCTTGGCTAACTGGGTACCAGGGCTCCAGGACTTCGCACAAGGCCCAGTGAGCCTCCTGTTGCAGGTGGGCGATGTGGCAGGAGGCATGGAGGCCTGGCACATCTGCGGTAGAGGGCGAAGAGGGCTGGTAAGCGGCTGCTCTGTGAAGGCTAGCCCAGGCTAGCCCAGAGGAAGAGAATGCTAGCAGCTCCCTCCCCTCACCTGCTGGGGTGCAATGCAGGGCCTCGCACATGCTCGTGCCCGCTAGGCAGGCCTTCTACAACTGGGCTCTACATTATGGCTCCTTTAATATGCTAGGCAAGAGTTGTACGGCTGAACTGCATTCCCAGCCCTTAAAGAGACCTAATTGTTTGGTGGTGCTGGGGATCGAATCCAGGACCTGTCGCTCAGGAAGCAATACTTTACTAATGAGTTCCACGCCTTGGCCCACTCTGTACCATCTCCTTCATTTTATTTTATTTTCATTTATCTATTTATTTTGGTTTTTCAAGACAGGGTTTCTCTGTAGCTTTGGAGCCTGTCCTGGAACTAGCTCTTGTAGCCCAGGCTGGCCTTGAACTCACAGAGACCTGTCTGCCTCTGCCTCCCAATCGCTGGGATGAAAGGCGTGCGCCACCACCGCCCTGCACCTCCTTCATTTTATTCATCCGTCCACTCCCAGACTGGAAGGAGATGATGCGGATAAGACGACTAAGATGTACGAATGACACTGGTGGCTCAGAGGTTAAGAGCACTTACTGCTATGGCAGAGAACCTGGGTCCGGCTCCTACCTCCATTGTGACTCACAACTGCTTATAACTCCAGTTCCTTCTACCCTCTTCTGGCTCCCGTGAGCTTCCACTCAAATGATGCATGTATATACAGGTAGAAAATCATACACATAAGATAATATATAAGTGAATCTTTTTCCTACTTTCTTGTTTGACACACAGTTTCTCTGTGTAGCTCTGGCTGTCCTGGAACTTGATGTGTAGACCAGGCTGGCCTTGAATTTGCAGAGATCTCCCTGCCTCTGTTTCTGAAGTACTGGGATTAAAGGTGTGGGCCACCAGTCTTTAAATCTTGAAAAAAAATACAAAATAAAGCCAGGCATGGTGGTACACACCTTTAATTCCAGCACTTAGGAGGCAGAGGCAGGTGGATCTTTGTGAGCTGTGAGTTCAAGGCCAGCCTGGTCTACAGAGCAAGTTCCAGGACAGCCAAAGCTATACAAAGAACCCCTGTATTGGAAAAAAATATACAAAACAAAACAGAACTAGGTCATCTGGATTTGAGTCCCAGCGTGGCCACTTGTTAGCTGAGTGACTTGGACAAGAAGTTTAATCTTTATGAGTGACCTTAGATGAGTAGTTTAATCTTTGTGCCTCAGTTTCTTCATCTGCCAAGTAGGGATAATGACAGTACCTGTCGCCCACGATTGTTATGAGTTTAACCAAACCAATATTTGTCAGACCCCTAGCCTGTGTCCTGACATATGGTAAATGCATGTGGCTGTCTGGTACTGTTGCTTCTGTTTGGCAGGATACTTTAACTTTCAAGGCTTGTCTCTTATCTTCTTCAAAGCTACAAAGAATATTTTCCCATGCCAGGCATAGTCTTAGTTTGAGGTCAACTTGCTCTGCATAGTGAGTTCTAGGCCAGCTAGAGCTACATGGCGAGACCCCGCCTCAGTTCTTGGCATCCTCCGGCCCCGCCACCCATCGCTCTTCTCCTGGTTCCATTTCCCAAGGAGTGATCATTCCCATTCTTTCATCTTTTTGCTCTGTGTGGCCTCTCTGAATCCACAGAAGATTTTAACCTTCTGAACCTCTGTGCAGCCTGTCCTTGGAAGATGTGGCTGCCACATGGCTGGGTCTACCCTACACCCTCTACCCTCCCACAGTTCCTGAGAGTCAGGGCAAATTTCTCAGGCGCGGCTGCAAAGACCAGTCTTTGCATTTGCTCGGCTTGCATTTCCAGCCCTGCTCTGCCACCTCTACCTTGCTGTGTGGCCTTCAGATAGTTGCTAACAAGGATACAAAGAGACAATGGATGTCAAGCCCCAAGAAGGTTCTTGCCCTGAATGGGTCCTATTCACTCCCACCTCACCAGTCAGGAGTGTCTGGAAACTCACCTGGGTTGAAAAGAATGGTTCCTTTCAAGTAGGCATACTCCTTGGGACCCAGTTCAAGGCTCCAGAAAGACTCCAGACAACGCTGGAGCCACCGCACAGCAGCCAGTGAGGGTTGTGGCCGGTCTGGTTTCTGGGTACCCTGGGTACTGCTGCTGGGTTCCTCCAGTAGGATTTGTTTAAGTATACTGGGCACGGGAGCCTCAGCCACCTCAAAGGTCACAGTATCTTGGGCCAACCCAAGCAGGAAGAGGGGGCCCCAGCAGCCCCCTAGCAGCCGCCGCTGATCCTCGTAGGGCAGGTGGCAGAAGGAAGGCAGGTTCCGGAGGAATGTCACTGTCTTGGCTAGGACATCCAGAGCCTCCCGGCAGGTGCGGTGTGGAGCACACAGGTGAACAGGCCGGTGCTGCTGGCACAGACAGTGGCTGCGAGACGCCGGTGCAATGGGCCTGGACCTGAGGCTGGGGCTCAGAAGTGCATACAGAATAGCTGGGCGGCCTGCAGAGCCCTGGCATGGGCAACCCCCAGACTGGCTGGAGTTCATGGTTGGTGTCTTGTTCCCGTTTCTTCCCAGCTATCTGGCCTTTCTGTACTGTGGGGCTATTTATATCCTCGATGGGCGGGAGGGGGGAATGGCCGCGCAACCTTGACTCCAGAAGTCATGTTCATTGAAAAAAAAAAACACATACACACACACAATGCATACACACACTGACCCTGGCAGGACTGGTGAGGAAATGGTGGGGGAGGGGCACTGGAGCTCCACGTGGCCTTGCTATCGCTTTAGTCAATGAAGTGGCCATTGCAGGGCATAGGGCCACCTACCTGCCTTTTATCGGATGACTCAAGTGTATAAACAAGGTCATTAACCCAGGCTGTCCCAGGGCACCAAGGTCTCGGGTGCTTAACCAGCCATTGGCTCTGACTGCTGCTTCTATTGGTGCCCACTTTCATGCACACAGGACCAGGGTTCTCACTGAGCCAAGGAGCCAGCCAGGGAAAGCTGGCCAAAGCCTTGAATGTGCGACCCAGCCTGGAAGTGCCTTATCGCGGCTGTGTTTGCCTAACCTTGGGGCACTGCCCCTGTTGTTGGTAAGGAGCAGGCTGCAGGGAAGGGAGCCAGGTCTCTGGGGACTTTACTCACTGTACAGTTTAGAAGGCCCCCTTCCTGGGACTCCAGCACAGGGCCCCCCCCCATTCGGAACCCCCTGCTCCCAGCCTGCATTCCTACAGCTCCAGGACAGCTGGATCTGCTGGCCCTTGCAAAATCGTGGGCCTGCATGGCTGTCATTTGTTGAAGACCCACTAAACGTGGGTCACTTTCCATTGTGATGTTGGGGACTTCCGGAGGAGATTAGAGTCTTACTCTGTGTCATTCAAAGAGGTGAAGTGACCTGCTCAAAGTTACTCCAACGGGAAGGGACAGAGCACAGACATGCATAGCCTCAAAGTCACCCTTGTTTGTCCCCCTGGATCAATTGTGCACGTCCGTGTGAGTTTCCCAGCATCGGTGGTGAGGAACTGATCCCCGCCCCACTCCCCTATCACTGCCTGGTCTGCAGGTGTGGCCTGCCTCTGGAGTGAGTGGAAACATATCTCCAGCAGCACATGGCTTCTCCGTCCCGGATATTTGTTAGAGGCGAGGGACAAGGGAAATGGGAGGTCCTCAGTTGTGTCCGTTCCTGACCTTGGCTAGCCTTGCTTAGCAGGCTCCCTGTCGCCACATTCTTGGGCAACCTGGTGTTCCCGGATGAGAAGAGAGAGACTCTGACGTCCTCTGCCCTGGCATCAGGTCTTGGATCCATGCTTGCCAGTCGCCGTGTGACTGTCAACTGGTCTCCTGGGTCTGTGAGCCTTGGTGTCTTACCTGAGACATTGGTCTCCCTGCGGTGATGACTTGAGAAAGGAGCAAGATCCTGCAGAGACTGTGCATCCCATTCCATCCTTGCAGGCAGGCAGGCTGCTTCTGCTGTAATGGCGTGTACCTCAACCCAGGTCTCTGATGGTCCGTGAGGTTCCATTCTGGTCTATCTCTTTCCTAAAAATGACACAGGAAGCCTGAGGCTCCATTCCTTTATTTTTCGTTTGTTTGGTGCTGATTGCTCACTGCGCAGCCCAGGCTAGCCTTGAATTTGCACTGTGTTGCCTCGGCCACCCAGCTGCTAGAATTACAAGACTGAGTTACAACACCTACCCGCTGGCTGCTGCTGCTGCTTTTCAGTTTCACTTATTGGGTATGATGGCTGCAGACAACATAAAATATGCTATTGTTGTGTGTATGAAGTTTGTTCTACTTTCCACTTTTCTTTCTTTCTTTAAATATCTAGCGTTCTCTTTTTCTTTTTAAAAAATATTTATTTATTATGTATACAATATTCTGTCTATGTGTATGCCTGCAGGCCAGAAGAGGGTACCAGACCTCATTACAGATGGTTGTGAGCCACCATGTGGTTGCTGGGAATTGAACTCAGGACCTTTGGAAGAGCAGGTAATCCTCTTAACCGTTGAGCCATCTTTCCAGCCCTTTCTCTTTCTCTCTCTCTCTCTCTCTCTCTCTCTCTTCTTCCTTTCTTTTTGCTTGCTTATTGAAACAACGTCTGCCTCTGTAGCTCAGGTAATCTTGGAACTCAGTGTAGCCGAGGCAACATAAACTCATGGCAGTCCTCCTGCATCTGCCTCCCAAGTGCTGGGATTCTGGGAGTGAGGTCCAATGCCTTCCAAGTCTCACCTCCAAACTCGTCTGTGTTTGAAACCCCTCTCCTGTCCGCCAGGACATAGGCCCCTCTTGTAGCTAGAAACGGAGCTTGCTACATCCTGATCCCCACAGATGGACAGGCTGCACCTCCTGCTCCTGCTGAAATCGGATGCTAGCGGCATCCTGAAAAGTCTTAGTCTCTACCTTCCACTTTATGTGGGTTCCAGGGGTCAAATGCTGGCAGTCAGGCTTGTCCAGGGGAATTGCCTTGATTTGCTGACCCATGTAGTTCAACCATTTTTAACAATTTCATTTATTTATTTTATTTTATTTTGGTTTTTTGAGACAGGGCTTCTCTGTGGCTTTGGAGCCTGTTTTGGAACTAGCTCTTGTAGACCAGGCTGGCCTCGAACTCACAGAGATCCACCTGCCTCTGCCTCCCAAGTGCTGGGATTTTTTTTTTTGAGACAGGGTTTCAGGTACTCCAGCCTGTCCCTGAACTCACTATGTAGCCAAGGATAACCGCTAACTCTTGGACCCTCCTGCCTACTCTTCCCAAGTGTTGAGACAACAGACATGCGCCACCGCAGTCTGTCTGTTATCCTTCCTTTCCTCTTCCTTCTTCTTCCTTTTCCTTTTTCCTCTTCTTCCTCCCTCTCCACTGCCTCCTCCTCCTCTTTTTGCAGCACAAGGGCTTTGTTCTTGCTAGATAATACCCCAGTGCACTACCCCTGATTCATTTTTTTTTTAGATTTATGTATGTGTTTTGCCTGCATGCATATATGTGTATGCCTGGTGCTCAAGGAGGTCAGAAGAGGGCTTCAGAGTCCATGGTACTGGAGTGACACATCGCTGGGAACCAAACCTGGACCCTCTGTAAGAGCAGCATGTACAGTTACTCAGGCTGGCCTTAATCTCGCTCTGCTTGCCCAGGCTAGCTAGTTGGGTTTGAAATTGGGACCCTCCTCCCTCAACCTCTAAACTGCACCAGTTGTCGGCTTGTATCCCCTAGCTGCTTGGTGCCAGTGGTTTTTTTTTGTTGTTGTTGTTTTGTTTTTTGTTTTAATTTTCTGAGAGAGGGTTTTTCTACGTAACCTTGTGTGCTGGCTAGTTTTATGGCAACTTGACACAAGCTAAAATCATTTGAGAGGAGGGAACCTCAGCTAAGAAAATGCCTCTATAAAAATCAGGCTGCAAACAAGCCCGTAGGCCACTTTCTTAGTGATTAATGGGGGAGGGCCCAGCCTCTTGTGGGTGGGGCTACCTCTGGGCTAGTGGGCCTGGGTTCTCTAAGAAAGGAATCTGCTGGTTGGTGGTGGAATTCCAGCCCCCAGGCGGCAGAGGCAGGCAGATCTTTGAGTTCGAGGCTAGCCTGGTCTACAGAGTTCCAGCACAACCAGGGCTACACAAAGAAACCCTATCTTGAAATGCACCTCCCCGTGAAAAAAGAAAGTAGTCTGGGCAAGCCATGAAAAGTAAGTCAGTAAACAACACCCTTTCATGGCCTCTGCATCAGCTCCTGCCTCCAGGATCCTGTCCTGACTTCCCTTCCATAGATAATGAACAGTGATCTGGAAGTGTAAGCCAAATAAACCGTTTCCTCCCCAGTTTGCTTTTGGTCATAATGTTTTATCATAGCAATAGTAACCCAAAGTAAGACACCTTGTCTGTTCTAGAACTCCTTAGATCAAGATGGCCTTGATTCATAGGATCTACCCACCTCTGCCTTCTAAGTGTTGGGATTAAACGTCACTGTGCCTGATTAAAAAAAATCATCAGGATAATATCAGAAACTAACTAATAGGAGTTGATTCTCTTCTTCCACCATGTGGATCCTGGGGATTGAACTCACATCATTAGACTTGGCAACAAGTGCCTTTACTTGAACTATCTCACCGGTCCAAAGTCTGCATTTATATGGATTTGAATTCATGGCCTTCTGTCTAGTAGCGTATAAAGTACTGCTGTCATTATTTATACTGCCGAGCAGATGATTATGTTGTCAGAATCCTGGTCTATGTGTCTAAGTCCTGGGGTCTACGTTCTTTTGATCTGCCATGTTGTTCTGTGAATATGCTTTGGTTCTCTGCTACAACAAGACATCAATCTTCCCAGTTCCTAGAATCAGCCGGTACTCCATTCTGATTCTGGCATGGGAGTGTAGTTAATAGAGAGAGCGTGCCTACCATATGCAAGGCCCTGACTTCTATGCTGTACCCACGTAAGGGGGTAAGACAGACTAATGGAAACCACATTTCTCAGAGTGGGAGATGGAAGGTGTCAACGCAGAGGGAGAAAACACAGCACAAATCTTATTCTACTGGATGGGAGTTGGCGATAATCACCCTCATGTTTCTTTGTATCTACAGGCAGGAAATGAATGTAGGGAGTCGAGGAGATGGCTCACCAGTTACAGCACTTGACACTCTTGCAGAGGACCAGGGTTTAGTTCTTGGCATCCATGTGGCAGCTCACAACCAAACATCAATAACTCTAGTCCAGGGGATCCAGCACCCTCTGCTGGCCTCTGTAGACACTGCACACATATGGTGCACAGCCAGTCATGCAATCAAAACACATATACATAAAATAAACCTAAAAAATTTTAAAATTGAATTATAATTTTTCTTATTTTTTAAGCATCACAGAAACTGCTTCAAAAGGACTTCCCACTTGTTGGCTGTGGGGCTCAAAGTGGATGCAAAGCACCTGCGCACTCAGGCATGTCCCGAAGGTGGATAGTCACCATTGTTGCTGCTGCAATCCTCACTCTTTGGAAGAGGAAGCTGAGGAGGTGGAACCCCTCTGCCAGGCCGGAAGTTAGGTACCTCTCACTATAGGGAGCTGTATTTCCTGTGCCCTGGGTGTGTTAAGATCATACCTTAAGAGGACAGGTGTCATGTCTGGAATCCTTGGAGGCGGAGAGAAGGCTGTGGTTAGGGTCGCTAGACCAGAGGCTGACTCGAGCCATTTGCTCAGAAAAGTCCAGAGCTTTTCTGTCTTAGGGTTTCTTCTTTCTTCCTTCCTTCCTTCCTTCCTTCCTTCCTTCCTTCCTTTCTTTCCTTCCCTCCCTCCTTCCTTCTTTCATTTTTCTTTTCTTTTCCCCCTGAGACATAGTTTCTTTGTGTAACAGTCCTAGCTGTCCTAGAACTACTGGAACTCGCTCTGTAGACCGGCTGGCTTTGAACTCACAGAGATCCGCTGACCTCTGCCTCCCAAGTGCTGGGATTAAAGGCAAGTACCACCACTGCTAGGGTTTCTATTGCTGTGATGAAGCACTATGACCAAAAGCAAATTGGGGAAGAAAAGGTTTATTTGGCTTACACTCCTACATCTAAGGAAGTCAGACAGAAACTCAAACAGGGCAGGAACCTGGAGGCAGAAGTTGATGCAGATGCCATGGAGGGGTGCTGCTTATTTGCTTGCTCCTCATGGTTTGCTCAATCTGCTTTCTTATAAAACCCAGGACCACCAGCCCAGGGGTGGTCCCACCCACAATGGGCTGGGCCCTCCCCCATCAATCACTAATTAAGAAAATGCCCTACAGGTTTACCTCTGTGGGATTTTTTTTTTCCTGGTTTTTCAAGACAGGGTTTCTCTGTGTATATTTGGAGCCTGTCCTAGGACTCACTCTGTAGACCAGGTTGGTCTCGAACTCACAGAGATTCACCTGCCTCTGCCTCCTGAGTGCTGGAACTAAAGGCGAGTGCAGCCGCCCCTACCACCTGATCATAGGGAGGCATTTTCTCAATCAAGGCTCCGTCTTTTCTGATGATGGTAGCTTGTGACAAGTTTATATAAAACTAACCAGTAGAGGTTCTAACTGGGAGATGACACAGACCAGCCCTCAGAGATCCGAGTCTGATGGGGAGATAAATCCTGCTCTTTGGGAATGTTCTTCTGAGGTTCGACCCTCAGGAGTCACTATTTCAAGAAGGGAGATACGGTCGGGCTCTCAGGAAATGTTTGGTAATAATCTTCCAACAGCGTAGCACTTCCAGGTTTACAAAGTTAAAAAAAAATATATGCACGCGGGGCATCAGGTGCTACACACGGGCAATCTCAGTGCTTTGAGAAGAAGGTAGGTGGACCGAGAGTACAAGTTCGTCCTTGCCTCCGGTACAGCATCCCTATCACAGCAAAACAAAGTAAGCCAGCACCACCACTCTCACCACCAATACAAAGCAGTTTTCCAGACGGTAAGGGAAGAGCATTAATCCAAGTGCAGTTTCTAAGCCTGGGGCTCTACGCTAACTACAGTTCTGTGTGCTTTTCCAAAAGCCTGGTCCAGCATGATGGAGTAGGTTTGGTGAGTGGTTTCTTCCTGGTCTCAACTGCCGATCGCAGGAAAAGACAACTGAAGGTATTCCTCGACCAAAACTTCTCTTAACTTCCAGCCCTTTCAAGATGTGAGCTCAGACCTTTCTAGAAAGCTCCCAGGTATCTGGTGACCATAGCAACTCAAACTAAACTCTGCGGCCGCAAGCCTCGCCCACTGCTTTAGGGTCGCGCCTGTTGATTTGCTCCGCCCGTTAGCCAATGACCGGTGAAGCGGGCTGTGTTCCGGGAGTTCAATGGCCAGCGATGGGCGGGGAGGCGGGAAGAGAGCAGGGGAGGGCGGAGCCAGGCGGCCGGGACGATGCGTGTTTCCGGCTCCGCTGCGGAAGGCCAGCGAGAGGAACCGTTGGGCCCGACTCGAACCGTGCGGAGCGCGGGCATCGCCGAGCGCGAGTGCGGAGCTCGGAGTGCAGCGAGATGGGCGGGGAACAGGAGGAGGAGCGCTTCGACGGCATGCTGCTGGCCATGGCGCAGCAGCACGAGGGCGGCGTGCAGGAGGTAAGCGGTGTGGCCCGTGCCCCGGCTCTTCTCCGCTGTGGATCGCCGAGACCTCCCCCACCCCGGCCTCGCGGGTCCCCGAATCCCTGTAGCTGGTCCGCGCGCCCCAACTTCCGGTCCGCCCACCCCACGGGCGAAGTATCACTCCCACGCCATCAGCGCCCGGCACCTGGCCCCCAAGAGCAATCTCGTCCCAGAGTGACCCCAAAGCATCCCGCATCCGTTCTGGGCTCCACGCGTGCTTCTGCTTGCATTTTAGTGATTAATCACTAGGGCATCCCAGGACCGACTCTCCCAGGCGTGATTTCCATCTTAACCAGAAGTGAAGCCTACCTATCACACACTGCGTGGGGTAGTGAGAACCGAGGTGAAGTCAGCACGTGGTCTCTTTAAACTTGAATCGGGGAAGTGAACCGGAGACCTGTAGACGGCTCGGTTGCCTTCTACGGGGTTAAGCGTTCCGCATGGTCTAGACTCAGTCTGTGAGGTGAAAAGTGGGAATGCCAGTTCTTGGTTTTGGTTTTATGAGTCAGGGTCTAACTGTGTATCCCTGGCTTGCCCAGAACTGTTAGCTAGACTAAGGTGACTTCCAATTCAGGGTCATCCTCCTGCCTCTGCCTTCTGAATGCAGATGTACGCCACCCTGCGTGGCTCTTAGTTTTCTTGAATTTTAGGGAAGTAGTACTTTTGAATTCATAAGGCTTGTTCAGGGGCTGGAGAGATGGCTTAGTGGTTAAGAGTATTGCCTGCTCTTCCAAAGGTCCTGAGTTCAATTCCCGGCAACCACATGGTGGCTCACAACCATCTGTAATGAGGTGCCTTCTTCTGGCCTGCAGAATATTGTATACATAATAAATAAATAAATATTTAAATATTTAAAAAAAAATAAGGCTTGTTCATCAAGTGTTTGCCATTATCGTGTACAAGACACAGAAGGCTGGACCCTGGGGATGCAGACACAGCCGGAGACCAAGCCTTGCCTTCATGGAGTTACTTGCGTACAAAGAGAACTTCTTGCTTTCAAAAAAAATATTAGTCAGGTGTGCCTTTAATCCCAGCACTGGAGAGGCAGAGGCAGGTGGGGAAGGTGGATATTTTGAGTTTGAGGTCAGCCCAATCTACACAGCTAATTCTAAGATAGCCGGGGCTATTTAGAGAAGAAACTCTTGAAAAAAACAAAACCAAATTAATATAATTGGGTGTTTGTGTCAGGAAAACTGTGGGGTCAGTTCTCTCCTGCCACCTGTATGTGGGTTCATGATCTTAGGTTGCCAGGCTCTTGAGGTAGTCACTGTTTACCCAATGAGCATTTTAGAAGTATACCTCAGGGCGCCGGTTGCACGCCTTTAATCCCAGCACTCTGGAGGCAGAGGCAGGTATATCTCTGTGAGTTCAAGAGCTAATTCCAGGACAGGCTCTAAAACCACAGAGAAACCCTGTCTCAAAAAACAAACAAAAAAAAGTAAGTATACCTTAGGATTTGAATGATGTACATAACTGTTATTCTGGTACTGGGAAGGAAGAGGCAGAATTACTACAAGTTAGAGGCTAGCCTGCTCTATATAAGCAAGTTCTTGGCCAGTCAGGTACATAGTGAGACCCCCCCAAATATATAGCCCATAGGTGATGTTGAGTGACCAGACCTAGTTATCCCCATGGGTGTGGTTTATGATCCACAAAGATACATATGCTGTTAATTTTTTTTTTTTGGTTTTTTTTCTCAAATGGAAATACAGGCAGAGGTGGAAAAGCCTGTGGTGGTTCTGACAGTACTTTTGATTCTACAAGTACCCGAGGGTCAGAGAGTGACAGGTTTACCCGAAATCAGACCCGAAGTCCCTCACCTAGATAGGCTGCTTTCGTCTGTCGCTGGGGGTGGGTTTTCATTTAACCTCCCATTAGGTCTTAGGGTTACTGTACTGCGTTGAAACACCATGACCAAAAGCATCTTGGGGAGGAAAGGATTTATTTCACTGACAACTCCAAAAGCAGTGCGGACAAGATCCTGGAGGCAGGAGCTGATGCAGAGGTCATGAAGGGGTGGTGCTTACCTGCCTGCTCCTAACGGTTTACTCAGCCTGCTTTGTTAGAGAACTTAGGACCATCATGGGGGGGGGCACCCACAATGTGCTGAGCCCTCCCACATCAGTCAGTAATTAAGAAAATGCTCTGCAGGCTTCTGGGGTGGGGGTAGCCCAGCCTTATTGAGGCATTTTATCAACTGAGGCTTACTCCTCTCCTGATTTTAGCCTATGTCAAGTTGACAGAAAATCAGTCACTACACATTCCAAGTATTTCTCTAGGTGCTTCTGTTGACCGAGGACTTCTGAATCCCTCCAAGTGGAAGAGAGTGTCAGACCTGCAAATGTGAACTGTGGTGATATTTTGTTTGTGCTTTAACAAATACAGCTTACCTGAAGATCAGAGAAGCGGAGCAGCCAGTCACTAGTTCTTGCCTCTACCCAATCCTCAGGCCGGAAGGGTGATCCTCTCTGTATGAATCCTTGGACTGATTCCTGATCTTCTGTATCCTCTTGACTTATATTCCTCTCTCTGCCTAGCCATATCCCTTCCTGTCTCCTCCTCCCTAGTGCTGGGATGAAGATGTGAGGCATCACCACCTGTCTCAGTTTCTCTTTGAGACTGGCTCAATGTCCTGTAGCACGATTAATAAAAACCCACAGGTAGAAATTGGGGTTCTACTTGAAGGTCAGAAAAGCGAAACAGCCAGCCATTGGTTCTTACCTTGACCTGAGTCTGAAATGGTGATCTTGCCTCCAGCAATCTCAGAATGAGACTGTGTGTGAGAGCTGTCTCCTCCCGTTTTAAATTCCTCTCTAGTGCTGGGATTAAAAGTGTGCACCGCTACCACCCGGTTTCTATGGCAAACTAGTGTGGCTACTGGGTTTAAAGGTGTGTGTGTCACCACTGCCTGGTCTGTAAGGCTGACCAGTGTGACTGTTTTACTCCCTCAATTTAATGCCAGCTTTATTTATTAAAATACAAATGAAATACCACTACAATCTTCAGTAGCCCAGTGTAACCTTGAACTCAGAGATCCATCTGCTGCCTCCTGAGTGCAGGATTAAAGGTGTGTGCCACCACTGCCTGACCTCTATGGCTAATTAGTGACTTGCTCCACACTGATCAGGCAAACTTTGTTACAGCACTAACATCATCACAGTGAAAAGCCTCCTTGTCTCCATTCCTCTAAACTAACAAAATGGGTTTGGGAGTGAGTTCACTTTCTGTTTTAATGAATATAAAGTACCTAGAAGTAGGGATTTCACAGTGGGGTAAGTTCTTACGTTAAATTTAGACCCATTGATGAACCTTGAAGACATTTATGCTAAGTGAAATAAGAAAGGACAAACACTGCCATGCATCATGGCGCACACCTTTAATCCCAGCGCTCAGAAGGTAGAGGCAGGCTGATCTCTGAGCTCAAGGCCAGCCTGCTCTACACGGCGAGTTCCAGGACAGCCAGGACTACACAGAGAACCCTGTCTCAAAACAGCAAAAAGCTGAGGATGTCCATGGAGAGTCCGATGATAACAGTGAATCTCAGAACATCTCAGCTCAGCAGTCCGGTGCAGCGCGAACGACTCTGGCTGCCTAGGATCGCCAGTTATCATCACCTGTGCACATAGCCCAGGAAAGACCACATAGATTCAGTTTCTACTCCGTGCATGCTGCTGTATCAGAGTGAAGTCTAAACCCTAAGGTGCCTACCTTAGGTCATCAGCTGCTGAGCTTTTTAGGAAGTCTGCCATCCGCTAGCCCATCTCTCCTGTGCTAGACACTCCCAAGGGCTCACTGTCACCAAAGGAGAGAGTGAACTGAACACCAGCCTTGCTCTCGGCTTCCCGAGCACCATCTGCCCCAAGCTTGTGCTTTAAATTACACCAACAGGAAAAACAGCTAGAACAACACTGGGGAAATAAAAATCACCCTCCGCTCTTTTGAGATGGCGTCCCACTGGATAGCTGAGGCTGACCGTGAACCCGTGGTCCTCCTCCCTCAGCCTCCTGAGTGCTACCACACACAATTACTATCCTTACTTTATTTTTTAAATTATCTAGCTGGGTATGATGCTGCACACTTAATTACAGCACTTGGGAGGCAGGGGCAGGTGAATTGAGTTTGAGACCAGCCAGGGCTATGTAGTAAGATCCTGTCTCAGAAACAACAGGGGTAAAGAGATGGCTAAGTTATGAGCCCGTACTGCTCTTCCAGAGGACCCGAGTTCGATTCCCAGCATTCAGCGTCAGACAGCTCACAACTGCCTGTCACATGAGCTTCAAGGGGATTCCTGCTCTGGCCTTTGTGAGCTGGTCTTTCTGTGCCGGATGCTCCTATGAAGATTCACTTATTTTTACTGTGTGTGTGTGTGTGTGCCTGCATGTGTGCGAGTGCACTGTGTGTTTCTGCTGCCATGGACACTAGAGGAGGATGTTGGATCTGAAGTTACTGATGAGTGTGAGCGACCATCTCAGTGCTGGGAACTGAATCCAGGTTCTTTTGCAAGAGCAGGAAGTGCTCTTCATGGTTCAGTCACCGATCGAGTCCTGTCCTAATCCCTAATTAATCCTGAGTGCTGAATTAACGGTGTCTAACACCACCATTCAACATCTGTGCGTGCAGCGGTTAGATGACAGCTTTCAGGAGCTGTTTCTTCTACTGTGGGTTCTGAGCAGTGGAGCCCAGGCTGTCAGGCTTGCCTGACAGGGCCCTAACCAGTGAGCCATCTCTAGACCTCTTGATGGGCTTTACTGTCTAACGATGAAGGCTTGGTTCAGGTATTTGAAGTCCTGAATGTAGAGGAAGCATGTCTGACTGGTCCAGCCTCGCTATGAAGGGGAATGTGTACATATACACATAAGAAATGAGTTTGTGTCTTACACTGAAGGTCCTGGCAGAAGGGGCTGTGGGGCTTGGTGGGGAGGCTGGCTGTTAGGGGAGAGGTTCAGAGGTAATGCTCAAGTTCAAATTCTCTCCTAAACTAGAACATTGTCTACATCCTGCGCTCCAGGTCTCAGCCTCTCCCTCTGTCTTTCAGCTTGTGAACACTTTCTTCAGCTTTCTTCGACGCAAAACAGACTTTTTCATTGGAGGAGAAGAGGGGATGGCAGAGAAGGTGAGTCCTGGGGACCCCTTTTCCTTGAGTGGGTCTGTAGCTGGCAAGGGAGACTGACCTGGCTTATCTAAGCTGGAGCAGAATGCCAGTAGAGTGGGGCTGGGGAGGGGAGCATCACGGAGGCCCCTCTCCTGGCTGCGTCCTCTGCTCATAAACTTCCTATGGTTCTTGAGCAGTTTCCTGGATGTCAGCCACACCCCCATTTTGTGGATGAGGAGGTCAACTTGGGTGTTTTACATTCTTCAGAGTCCTGGGCTGAGCTATAGAAACACCATGGAGACAGTCTGCTATAGGCTTGCTTTCTGTCTCCGAATCACCCTCCGGCCCCACAAGGTCTTATCTGGGAGATGAATGGACAGACATTTTAATTTCAAGCTTAAAACCAGGCATAGTGGTGCATGCCTGTAGTCTTAGTACTGAATTTGAGCCAGCCTGTGCTACATAGTGAATTTAGATCTATGATATGAGACCCCATCTCAAAAAAGAAAGCAAAAATTAAAATATTACAGACACAGGCCAGGCCTTTAGTCTCAGCATTTAGAGGGTGGTGGTTCAGGGCCATCCTTGGCAACCTGGGCCACATCACTAGATCCTTGTCAGATAACTCTGCTACCCTTTCCTCCAGGTTATAATGAACTGTTACCTCAGACCCATTAAAATGGCTTCCATCAGAAAGACAGGAAAAGCTTGCTTCTGTGGAGGCCGAGGCAGGAGGGTGGCTTAAACCTGCAAGTTTGAGACTAGGCAGGTACACATTTAAAAAGAGACCATAACAGCTGGAAATAAGTGTTGGCAAAGATGTACAGAAGTTGGAATCACCGTGAACAGCCATTGGGGATGTCAGGTGGTCCATCTACTTGTGGCAAAGAGCCTAGTGGCTCCTCGAGTGTAAAAATAGAGTTGCCGTGCCCAGCGGGTCCATTTCTGGGCAAGGTAGAGAAGATTTGCTTGCACATGCCTATGTTCCTGGTAACGGACATTATTTAGAATGAGCAGAGGCAGGAGGGGCCTGGAGAGGGCTGGCCGCGGTTGCCAAGGGCCTGGAGAGGGCTGACTTTCTCCCAGCCCTCATATCAGGTAGTTCACAGCTGCCTGAAACCAGCATCACGGGATCTCATGCCCTCTCCTCACCTTCCTGCCTACTTGGACTCAGATGTGTATACCAACTCAAAGATACACATACACATAATTAAGAGTTTTTGTTTTGTTTTCTTTGGTTTTGTTTTGGTATTTTGAGACAGGGTTTCTCTGTGCAGCTTTGGTGCCTGTCCTGGAACTCGCTCTGTAGATCAGGCTGGCTTCAAACTCACAGAGGTCCACCTGCCTCTGCCTCCCTTTGCCTCCCGAGTGCTGGGATTAAAGGTGTGCCCCACTACTCACTATCTCCCGGCGTCGGGGGTTTTTGTTTGTTTGTTTGTTTGCTTTTTTTTTTAATCTGTTTTTTGAGCCGGCTTCTCTGTTTAGTCCTGGCCCTACTGGAACTCTCTTCTGTAGACCATGCTAGCCTCAAATATGGAGATCTGACTGCCTCTGCCTCCAGAGTACTGGGGTGAAAGGCGTGTACCAGTGCCACCATGCCCAGCCTGAGATCCTAAAGCAAATCCTAAAAGCAAATAAAAAGCCCAATCCTTTGACAGACCACTCAAGTCAAATACTTGCCCAAACTGAGGGGTTTGCTAAGAGCTCATGAGACTGGGAACTTGGGGGACAGTGCTTCGTGTATTCTTCTACTTTGTATTTTATTATGAGAAACTGGGAGGCACTCAGGAGGCAGAGGTAGGGGCAGGAGAGGATCTCTCTGAGTTTGAGAGTCGTAGTAGAGAGTTCTAGGACAGTTCACACACACACATATATAGGAATAGCTATACAGAAGCAGAGCATATGGCAGGGTGTGAAGGTGGCACCTACACACACATACACAGAGAGACATGAATAGCCGTGTAGAAGCAGAGCGAATGGCAGGGTGTGAGGGTGTGGTGCCTAGACACGCGCCGTGCACACACGCGCGCACACATGCGCACACACAAACACACACACGCACGCATGCATGCATGCATGCACGCACACACAAATAACCATATAGAAGCAGAGCGGATAGCAGGGTGTGGTATCTCCGTACCCTCTGTAGACTTGCTTTCCTCCCAGGATCTTCATGCTCAGGCTCAGCAGCGAGGAATGGTCCAAGCTCCATCATTTAGGGGATTGCATGTGTGAGCGTTTGCGGATGACTGCTGCATCATTGGCTGTCAACCACTTCAGTTCACAGGTTCTCCCCGCTGCCTTCCTCCACTGGGGAGGGGGTTTGTAAGATCCAGCCTCAGCTCTTGCTGAGTCTTCCTAGCAACCAACAGCCAGTCCTGAGCCATGAGACAGGATTCTGACAGACATGGTTTCAGTCTGACAGAAGATGCACCCGTCCCTCTGGAAATACCAAGGACTTAGGAGCTTGTGTCGGGAACCTGGTCAAAGGTTTCTTGCTGTCGCTGTCGCTCACATCCCCCTTGTTGGTGTAGTGTGTTTTGCTCTATAGATTGCTTTTCTTCTCTAGAACTCATTTTGCTTAGACAGGAAGGACAAAATGGTGGGTGTTCTCTCGGCACTGTCAGTGGTTGGCCATGCCTGCGCCTACCGTTCAGTGCTATTCTACCATCTTTCTTGTGTCTGGAAGCGTCTGTCACTGTTCACTCCTGCAGGAGGAGCCCGCACTGCTGCTCTCAGAATGACTGCTAGGTTTCCAAGGTGGCCTGTGAGGTGGGTTTTTGCTCTACTGTTAGAACTCAAGGATTTGCTGGGCGCTGGTGGCGCACACCTTTAATCCCAGCACTGGCAGAGGCAGGTGGAGCTCTGTGAGTTTGAGGCTAGCCTGGTCTACAGTGCAAGTTCCAGGATAGTCAGAGATATACAGAAAAACTCTGTCTCAAAACCTCCCCCCCCCCAAAAAAAAAAAAAAAAAACAAAAAACAAAAGCAAATTCACAGGCTTGGGTAAACATGTTCCAGGGTTGTTACCAAGTCAAATCACGAGGGGAATCTGTGTCAAAGGACACAGGCCAGTTTGGCTATTTTTTTTTTTTCCTTTTTTGGAGAAAGGGTTTCTCTGTGTAGCTTTGGAGCATGTCCTGAAACTCACTGTGTAGACCAGACTGGCCTGGAACTCACAGAGACCCACCTGACTGCCTCCCGAGTGCTGGGATTAAAGGCGTGTGCCACCATTCCTAGCCCAGTTTGACTTTTGATACTAGCATTAGATTCCATCTCAGCCCTGGCCCCTTGTGAACTGCTGTCAGCTTCCATCGTGGGAGTTTGTCATGCTATTGTCACTGTCACCATGCTCCTAGATCCCTCTACTTGCTTAGGTGACTGCCTCCTCCTTTTTGTTTGTCCTTGGCGGTTGGTTCTTTGTCTTATAAGTACTTGTGTGTGGGACTGGGGACTAACCCTTAGACTAGGTGCCATGCTAGGTGATTGTTATGCCATTGAGGTGTATCTATCCTCACCCCCCGTCCCAGTCTTGATATGGAGAGCACAGTAGCCTCAAACATGACCTTCCCTCTTCTGCTTCCGGAGTGCTGGGACCACAGGAGTGCAGCCGCCACACCAGGCCGGGTCACTGATTCTTCAGAAAAATTCTCTAAATTGTGTAAATGTTTGAACAGAGGTACTTCCCAGTTAGCAGCTGAGTGAAAGGTGTTGTGTAAAATTATTGTGCATTCAGGAAGGTGGTTGAGGTGTTTGAGATGCTGCAGAGAGAGCTCAGTCACGATCCAGCTTCAGAGGATGCGAAGCCCAGCCCTCCTGATTCCTCTCAAGTGAGGAAGGAGCTGATGACAAAGTTAGATGCTGTTCAGGGGCCTTGTTCTTCAGAAGACAGGGATCTTGGTGAGAAACAGGAAATGTGGCTTGAAAGCCTCATTGGGGCTAGTCGTGGACGGAACAAGGCTGTCCCAAGTAAAGGGAGCAGCAAATAGCAGGTGCAGAGCTGTAGAAGTCACTGAGAGAAAAGGTTGCATGCCCGCACCCTCTCTGCTGCTTTGCAGGCCGGATGAAAGGACCTGAGGCTGAGTGTCATGGCTGCAAGCTGGGGAGCAGTGGGCATTCTGTGGGCATTCCGCTGCTGCTGGAGCTCGCAGAGGGAGACAGCTTGGCCTAAAGCAGCCAGTGTCTTAAGACTGGTACCAAGTGGGTTTTCATAGATGATGCTTTGCTCTGACCTTGGGCACTGTTGTCACTCAAAATGAGGAGCTCCGAAGGAGGAAAAGGATGCCAATGAGGGTGCTGGTTTGTGGGATGGGTCAGTGTGACAAGCTTTCTTGTTGACTGTCTTTGAATTGCCAGTCCCCAAATGACATGGAGAGTTAATTATGAAAGCTTGATCTTAGCTTAGGTTTTTTTCCACCTTGCTCTTAAATTAATCTGTCTGTAGTAATCTACATTCTGTCATGTGACTCAGTTACCTCTGCTCTGTGCTGTATGTCCGCCTTGTTCAGTGTCTTCCCTGGTGTCTCCACTTCTCTCTTCTTCCCAGAGTTCTCTTTCTCCCCAGAAACCCTGCCTGTTCTCTCCTGCCTAGCTATTCGCCATTCAGCTCTTTATTAAACCAATCACAGTGACACATCTTCACAGTGTACAAATACCCTACAACAGTAAGGGTGGAGAGAAGCCAGGGTGACTCTGCCTGTCCCTTAGGTGAGGGCCTGCCGGTGTGGACCTCTTCCACCCCAGCTCCAGGCGTCTCTTCGCTGAGACCTCTTGATCTTCCCCTGGGGCCCGAGAGACCGCTTGGAAGTTGAGAAAGGGAAGGGGTCAAGTATGCCTCTCCAACCCAGTCTGGGAAGGGAGAAAGATGAGGGTAGGTGGGGCCGAAAGACAGAATCAGCAGGACCCCATCTTTGAGCATCCCTGATCAGAGGCGTACCTCTGTTGTCCACTGCTTGAATGTATTACGAGACTCTTAAGCCTTCGGGTTGGGTGTTAAGTCTGCCCTGCCAGACTAGGAACCATCCTTGTCCCTGTCAGCTCTGTCAGGAAAACACCTGTGGGGGCTGGAGAGGTGGCCCAGGTTAAGAGCACTGGCTGCACTTCCAGAAGTCCTGAGTTCAATTCCCAGCAACCACATAGTGACTCACAACCATCTGTAATGAGATCTAGTGCCCTCTTCTAGCCTGCAGGGATACACGCAGGCAGAGCACTGGATACATAATAAATAAACAAGTAAGTAAATAAACGAATATTTAAAAAAGACCTCACTTTCCCATTTGCCAGCCTGTGTGTGACTCCCCACCATGTGTCAGTGACTGAAGCTTGACTTGTGACCTCCACAGCCTCTGCGCAGAGGCCACTTCTACCGTGTCTTTTGGTGGGAGGGGCCTGGGAAGAAAGGTTAGAGGCTGCTATGGTTGGCCTTTGCCTGGTGGCTCCTGCTGCCCTTTTTTAACCTCTCATGGCTAGGAAGTAATAGGACAAGTGGATTGTGACATGATTTATGGGGCTGGAAGAGGGGAGGACCCTGTTCCTGCCCCTCCTTGACCAGTGATTGTCAAATGGCTTGAGTTCAAGGTCCCCCTGATTAGAAACTGGGGGTGAGGCCCTGTGGTGGAACAACCTCTGCTGCAGTTGCTCCATGACCTGTTTCTCTCTACAGTGGCGCGGCCTCTGCGTGCCTCATTGCACTCATTCCCACCGTTACTCTCAAACTTCCTGATGCTTTGGTTAAGCTACTCAGGGCGGCATGGGGCTGCGGGGGCGGTCACAGATGAATGAGAGTCTGGGAGCATTTGGCAGGACTTTGGATGTGAGAGGCCATGGGTGACTTCAGAGGCTACACCCTCCTTCCATCTTAGGTGTGGAGGTGCCTGGCAGATGGTTCATTGAGCTCTGATCACGGGGTGGCTGTTCCAGGAGACCTCAGGTGTGCACTTTGTATCGAATGTGGGAGACCACAGAAAACTGTATTTTCTGAGGGTCTGTTCAGAACCTGCTAGTTAAACTCGACATTTGAGCTGGTTCTGGAGGCTGGCCGGTGAGACAAAGACCCCATTCTAGGTGAGAGCAGCATCTGCCGAGGCCGCCTTTAGAGAGAGATAGGGATTGCTCAGGGTCGTAGTTCAGACCTGTGACAGGTGCCATGAGGGTAGCCCTGGGTGGCAGACATCTAGATGGTTTTAGGGTTGAAGCATCATGGGAGGCTCCCTCAGTGGACATGAAACAACTTGAAATCAGAAGCTCTCTGTTTAGGAAGGGAAATAATCTCTTCCCTTGATGGAGTGCTGCCTTCTGGGGTTGTGCCTAAGATGGATATAGGCAAGAAGAGAGACGGAACAGGAAGTGTAGACCTGTGTGCTAGGGGAGGCTTCCTAAGGGGGCTGAGCGTGAGTTCTGCTTGCAACAGAAACAGCTACCAGCCCCGTCCACCGGTGCACAGCTATGTACCTGGCAGCAGTTGCAAGGTAGAGGCGGGCAGGGCTTTGTCCCTAGGCCTTAGGACACTGCTGCCCTCTGCTCTGATGTTTCACTGCCCTCCCTAGCTCATCACACAGACATTTAACCACCACAACCAGCTGGCACAGAAGGCCCGGAGAGAGAAGCGAGCTCGGCAGGAGACTGAGCGTCAGGAGAAGGCAGAGCGGGCAGCCAGGCTGGCCAAGGAGGCCAAGGCAGAGACCCTGGGGCCGCAGATCAAGGAGCTGACTGATGAGGAAGCAGAGAGACTGCAGCTGGAGATTGACCAGGTGAGGCTGGGCTTCCACCTCTGCCCCATCCCTGACTCTATTGGCCCTGGGAAGTAGGGCTCTGTCCCACCTGTGTGCCCTGTGTGCCTTTTGCTGCAGAAAAAGGATGCCCAGAATCATGAGGTCCAGCTCAAGAATGGCAGCCTTGATTCACCAGGGAAGCAGGTAAGATAGATTAGCAGGGGCATGGGCATCAGCTTCCTCCCTTCTACAGAATTCCCTTGTCTCCTTCCCCTGCCCTCAACCTTCAAGGTCGCACCCCAAAGACGTGGAAAACATAGAACAGAGCCAGTGTGGTGGCTCACACCAGTAATCTCAGCACTTGGGGGGCTGAGGCAGAAAAATTGATGTAAATTTGAGCTATATAGTGAGAACCTATCTCAAAAGAAATTAATATTTTTTTCAACCCAGGCATAGTGGCAAAAACCTTTAATCCCAGCACTCAAGAGACGGGGCAGGCGGATCTCTGAGTTCCAGGCCAGCCAGGGTTATGTAGAGAGACACTGTCTATAATGATGATGATGGTGATAATCTTTTTGTTAATGGCTTTAAGACTGGGACAATAAACCAGGCAGTGGTGGCGCACACTTTTAATTCCAGCAGGGAGGAAGCAGCAGGTGGATCTCTGTGAGTTCGAGGCCAGCCTGGTCTACAGAGTGAATTCTAGGACACCCAGGGCTACACTGAGAAATCCTGTCTTGAAAAATCAAAAAATAAAATAAAAGACTGAGACAAGAATACCCGCAAGTGGGCTGAGAAGATGGCTCAGTGGTTAGGAATACTTGTTACTTGTGCAAGGGTCCCAGGTTTGGTTCTCAGCACCCATGGTGTCTCACAACCATCTCTAACTTCAGTTAGATGCCCTCTTCTGTACTCTGAGCACCAGGAATGCACATGGTGCACACACATACATGCAAACAAAACATTCATACACTTAAAATATTTCTTAACATGCTCACAAGTCAGAGGGCACCATGAAGGGTGGGCTAAGGGGCAGTGAACTCCACCATATCCTTTGTCACATGACACACTTTGAGCCCTTCTGGCAGAGATCAGACCTGTGTTTTCCTTTGGTTCTCAGTGGCCCAGAGTGTGTGGGTCTGCCATGCTTAGGTCTGCTTTCTGTTCTGTTTGTTTTTTTGTTTTTTGAGACAAGGTTTCTCCATAACTTGAAACTAGCTTTGGAGACCAGGTTGGCCTTGAACTCACAGAAATTCACCTGCTACTGCCTCCCAAATGCTGGGATTAAAGGTGTGCGCCCCCACCACCCAGTGTAGGTCTGCTGTCTTGTGACTGTTTTGTTCAGTGGCAGTTCTGGGCCTGACTTGGTGGAAGTCTGGTCTGTCAGGTAAGTCACTGAACACCCTGACTATGAGCAGGATGCTGACGAGGAGGATGAGGAGGAAGATGAGAAGGACAAAGGGAAGCTGAAGCCCAACCTAGGCAATGGAGCTGACCTGCCCAACTACCGCTGGACCCAGACCCTGTCGGAACTAGATCTGGCAGTGCCCTTCCGAGTCAGCTTCCGGCTGAAGGGGAAGGACGTGGTGGTGGACATTCAGCGGCGGCACCTCCGGGTGGGCCTCAAAGGACAGCCGCCAATCATTGATGGAGAACTGTACAATGAAGTAAAGGTGGAGGAGAGCTCATGGCTCATCGAGGATGGCAAAGTGGTGACGGTGCACCTGGAGAAGGTAGGGGAGGCCCAGCCTAGCCTGGTGCTTTCTGCGGGGCGGCTGCTGACTCCCAGCTTAGCCTGGGTGCTCACTGGAAGGGGGGGCTGCTGACTCCCAGCCTAGCCTGGGTGCCAACTGCCTGGAGGAGCCTGCTGACTGTGGGGAGAGACCAGCTGACTCCCCAAGGCTCCCATAGGCCCTTGGGGGCCTATTCCTCACTCTGCCCTTGTTTTGTAGTCAGGAAACAGTGTCAGTTCAGCTTGGCGCAGGGTGGGCGGAGTCAGGCTGCGCAGTCTTCTGTGCTGAGCTTTTCTTCCCATCATGCTGGCGCATGGGTTCAGTGCCATACATGCCTGTGCACCTACTGTGTGTCAGGCACTGTTCTAAGGATGGAGAACAGTGAACAAACATAGAAGTCCATATTGTCTTCTAGACTGCCTTCCTAGAGGTAGGGTATTTGCTGGGGTAAATGAAGGTGGTGTCTGAAAAAGGCCAAGAGTCCAAGGACAGCTTTCCCTGGCACAGACGGTGGCTTGGCTGCCACTCACTCACCTCTGTGCCCTTGTTCATGGTTTTCCTCCCAGCCAGGATCTCCCTTTTTGTTTTTTTTTTTTCTTCTGTCTTCCTTCTTATTTACTGCTGATGCCTTAATGCCTAGTCCACCTGTTATCTAGCCTCTCTCCTTGACGCTGAGCGTCCACTGCATGCTTCCTTTCCTGGTGGGTTGATTGGTAACTGTTGCCCTCTGTGTATCTATCTTCCCTGGCCGGACAGAGGTCTGGTTCTTTTGTATCTCTAGCCCGAGCACAGACCTGTGTGGGGCTTGGATACAAGATGTGGATGGGAGTTTAGTTCTAAAAGGGTTGAGGTGTAATTCCTAGGTCAGAGCTTTCCTTCTCCATGGATATCTTCCTTCTCCTCCTCTAAGATCAATAAGATGGAATGGTGGAACCGCTTGGTTACCAGTGACCCCGAAATCAATACCAAGAAGATTAACCCTGAGAACTCTAAGGTGAGTCCTGGTCAGCTGAAGATTTATGGAATTGAGGGGATAGGAGCTCCAGTGTTTTGTTCACCCTCTCCCCGCCTCTCTCTAGCTGTCGGACCTGGACAGTGAGACTCGCAGCATGGTGGAAAAAATGATGTATGACCAAAGGCAGAAGTCCATGGGCTTGCCCACCTCCGATGAGCAGAAGAAACAGGAAATCCTGAAGAAGTAAGCAACTCGGGGATTGCCCTGGGGACTTAGACTGCCCTACCCTCTCCCCCTTCCAGCACGAACCAGTCAAGTTCATGGTTCTATGGCCTTGGCTTGGCTAACCCAACCACTTGCCAGGGTCATCTCCAGGACAAGGCTACCTTAAGAGTAGGGAGCAATAGGTAAGAGGCCGTTATTGCCACCTACTGGAAACTGGTGCCACTGCTGGCACTTCCCACTTCCAGCCTCCAGGGTTGAAATGACCTTCAGCTGAGGCCCACGCAGCTTGGCCCCAGGTCAGGGTTCTGAGGAGGTTAGGCCCAGTGTCAGGACTAGGCTAGGTTGAGATGGACAGCTCACTTCAGTCTTACACTTCTCTTTCCCAGGTTCATGGATCAGCACCCAGAGATGGATTTCTCCAAAGCCAAATTCAACTAGCCTCCCATGTTTGCCTTCCTATACTCTTGGAACTGAACCCCTAAACTTCCTTTCCCACCATTTCCTTGGACCTGGGAACCTTAGGGCTGGGGCAGGCATGGGACTTACCAGGCATGTGAGCTCCAAGGCTTCCCCGGAGATGGGCTGGGTGTTGGGGGTCTCCTCCTCTCCATTTGGCCTGTTACACATTAAAACTATTTACCCTACTTCATCTGTGTCCTTCCTTGAGCCCCTCCCTGCTGCGGCTGGGACTTGGGGTTTTGGCTTCTAGCCTAGATTCTGTTGTGTAGAATTCTACCTACTAGGGCAGGCTCTTCATTCTGGATCTCAGCTCCCTCCATGACTTAGGGGGGATGGCGACACAGGCTTTATTTAGAGACAGGGTTTCTCTGTATCGTGGAATTTACTTTGTAGACCAGGCTGGCCTTAAACTCCGATCTACCTGCCTCTGTCTCCCCACGTGATTAAAGGTGTGTGCTATCACCACCATCTGGCTTGTTTTAGTTTTTATTGTATGTGCACATGTGCTGTAGCACATGTATGAAGTTCAGAGGATAACTTTGTGGATGAGTTCTATGTTTATGTGGACTCCAGAGATGGAACTTGGATTGTCCAGTTTGTGTAAGTGCCTTTCCACTCTGAGCCACCTCACCTGCCACATGTGTGACTCTGAGCAAAAGCTACAGCTTCCCAAAGGGACCCATGATCCAAGAAGTTCTAACAGCAGCTGTGTATTACCAGGAGCCCAGTCTCAGAATTGACTATTTAGACTAGACTGTGCTGAGACAGAAGAGTAATAAAGTCGGGGTGATTGCATGGGTGTGGGAGCTGGGAAGGCAGGGTACAGTCGAGTGGAGCCCCACCGTTTGTCTCTGGCCTGTTCCTCTCAGAGACAGCACTGAGGCAGTAAAGGGCCCAGGAGGCACTTGTGCTCACATCTGGCCCTGGAGCCTCTGCTTCCACTGGAGGGTAGGGGTTATTGAGTGCAGGGGCTGTGCAGGGTAAAGTAAGTATCCAGCTGTTTCGATAAACCCTTTTCTGGGAATGCAAAGCTTCACAAAGCTGTTGGGGAGTTGGTTTCTGGGCCAAGACTAGTATTTAGGGACCATTAACACTTGCTCTGCTTTCCCCCGTTCTGTAATCTTTTTATAGATTTAATGTGAACCAATGTTTTCCTGTATGTGTGTATATGTACCATCTATGTGCTTGGTGCCCACAACACTCAGAAGAGGGCATTGTTTACCTTGAACTGGGGTTAGGGATGGTTATGAGCCATCGTATGGGTAGGCTGAGTCTTGGTATGTATCCCTGGTTAGCCTTGAACTCAGCGATCCTCTTGTTGATTTCCTAGGTAGGATTACATGTCAACACCCCCTTTTCCTCTTGCAGCACTGGATATCAAAGCCAGGACCCCAGATATGTTAGTCAACACCAAGCTGCACCCCTCCCTGGTCATTCTATTCATGCCTTAATTTGTATAACACAGCAGCTCCCAAGAAAAGGGCCAGTTCACTTGGTATAGCTGCACCTGGGGCCTGTGGTCACAGCCCCCAGGGCCATCTGTTGTCCCTTGAGAAACTAGATAAATGATAGTTTTACCACTTTCCAAAAGGTGTCCCAAACAGTAAACAATCTCTATAAAGGAAGAAGCTGGGAAAGAATGGCCCCTTTTTCTTGCCTGTGGTTACTGGGCTAGGCGGGTCAGCCCAGAGCTTGCTCAAACTTTAGATAGGGCCTTACTTTGTTGTATTGGGTTGAAGAGCTACCCTGGCTAATCTAATGGACCCTGTACTTGTAGCCCTTCTGCCTCACCCTCAGGTAGCTGTGATGTTAGGTCTGTACCAGGTCCAGCACCTGGAAAGAGCAGCTAAGGGCCCTGGATGGTGACCACACGAAAGGAGCCTGCTTTTGCTTCAGGGAGCTCAGCTGCCAAGTTTGGTGCCCGTTGCTAGCTACAAGGATGTCTTTGAACACCAGGCTCTCAAGTTGCCAGCAAGGGCAGGATAAAGTGAAAACCAGAGTGCTCTATTGACACCAAGGAGAGGTGAGAGGGGTTCCTGATATGTGATGAGGGACTTAATACTAAGGGTGGCCAGACCATGGAGGAGTGGCAGTCCGGACAAAGCCGCCCTAGATTATTCTTTATCTTTTAGAAGTGAAGCTACAGTCTGTCTGGCTCCTACCTTGCCTTTCTATTCCACGATGCTGAATTTGGGGCAACTGGCACAGGGAAGACTATGTAACTCTGATGAGCCGGCCTGTGAACTTGCAACTATGGTCATGTTAACAATATAGAACAGTCAAGATCAGCACAAACTGCTCAGCAATATAATAGGTGGGCACTGCCCAGAGAATCACATATAGAGGCCATCTGTCCCCAACCCAACCTATGTAGTTTCCATAATTGCTTAGGGTGACGTGGGACTGAAACTGGAAAGCTACTTCCCAAGACTTTGCTTTCAGCTCACAGGAAGAAACAGTCCCAGGCAGCAGTGAGTCCAGCTGAACAGGCAGAGGACAGGGGCACCATGGTCCTGTGAAATGTATGTGGTCTAAAGTCATTCAGTGAAAGGAGAAGCCAGAGGTCACTGCTGGGCTCAGGATCTGGCCTCCACACAAAGGGGTCCTGGTTCCTCGACTCCGCTGGCTATGCTTCTTCCAAGAGGGGCTGTGACTGCTGGGCCAGTGGGGGTTAGCAGTACACCTGCAGCAGGGGTGCCCCTGAAGAGTCTGTGTCCGTGCCCTGGAAGGATGAGTCTTGGCTGCCTGGATACCCTGGTTGGAGGAGGAAGCAGAGGCTCAGAGAGGGGAAAGAGCTCAGCCAGGGCCTACAGCCAAGGAGAAGCCTGCTGAGACTGAGCCTAGTCAGCCATAACAGCCTGCGCAACCCACTCCTGATGTTCAAATCCCAGCAGTTGTCTGTAAAAGGGTAATGACTTTGCTCCTGGGGTTGTGACGGCCCAGAGGATAGCAGTAGACATCATAAGGGGAGCTTCCGCAGCTGCAGGATGGATGGCCTGCTGTCCAGCTTACTCCCCAATCACTTCTAGCTCTATTCTGGGAACCTTCTCTCTTCAAGCCAGCTTCCAAGGTTGCAGTGGATATGTGGTTGCTCAGGCCTTTTTCCATTTCTGATCCCATCCTCACCCACCCCCAAAGTAAGCTGGAAGGTCATTTGAAGGGCCCCTAGTGTAGTTTCCCACCCTCTGGTCAGGTCAGGACCACACCTGGGGCTCCATATGGCCTCAGCTTCCTGGCGATGGCATCTGCTGTTGTCTCCTGGGAGATCTGCACGGTCAGTTCTAGGGAAGGAGTACGAATAGGTAGTGGTCATTATCATATTGTACAAAGCAGCTCAACGAAGAAGGGTGCTCGTGGGACACAGGCTAGACATGGGTGTGTGTGTGTAGTGGGCAGGTGGGACTTCTGCTAGGCCAGGTCAGTGATGCAAATTCCTGGGGTTTTGTTTTGTTTTTTGAAACAAGGTCTCTGTAGCCCAGGCTGGCCTGGAACGCTTGGCGGTCCTTTTTCTTCAACCTCTAGAATTCTGGGAATACAAGCGTGAACTATCACTAGCCTTTCTTGTTTACTGCAGAGGCACAAATTCTTGAGTTCTGGTCCATGGTTCAGTCCAGGCTTGGGAGCTGCTCTGCCAAGTAGTATAGTAATAGGGGAAAGGAGGAGCCTGACAGATGCAATGAATGAATGAATGGATGGATGGATGGATGGATGAGTGCTGGGGACAGTGCAATGGTCACTGACTGAGTCTGCATGCTCCCCACAGTTCTCAGCTCCATTGTGCCCAAGAGTTTAGAGATGTGTCAGCTGGCTACGGGTAAGCCCCACAAAGAACCCAGCCCAACCGTCCTATAAACCAGAGCTTCCCTACTTATGCACACTTACCGTCCTGGCTGAGGGCAGAGCCCACCATGGTCTCATGGCCACTATCAGGGGCAGCAGCAGGGGCAGTAGAGCGTGCCGAGCGCCCCTCGGAAGTCTGTGGGCGGGAACGGCTTTTGCGGGTACTGATGCGGATAATGCCGCGCACCAGGCGGCCCTCGGCGTCTTGCTCGTCCAGATGGTAATCCTGTGTGATGCTGCTGATCAGGTCTGAGATCTTGCTGGTCTTCTCTAGGAACACGGTGTCCGACGTGCACTTGGCCAGCTCGTCGATCTGGTGTACACTGAATAGCTCTGTCAGCTTCTTGAAAATAAGCACGTCGATCTCCCGGCTCGACATGGAGCCACTGCCCATTTCGGGCAGGTCCAGGTCCGACTCGTGGAAGGAGTAATACTCCTCGGAGCCGCGGGGGCTGCTGGGGAGGGTACTGGGCAGGCTGTGCCGTGTGGGAGGAGGCTCGGGTAGGGGCTCCTTGCAACAGGAGTCCGAGTCAGGGACTGAGGAGATGGCATGGCGGTAGGGGTAGACCGGAATGCCTTTGAGCTTAACGTCAGGATAGCTGAAGCTGCTGCCCATGGGGGACTTGAGCCGCTGGCCATCTCGGCGGCTGGGAGGTGCACGGTCCGGGCTGGGTGGCACACCATTAGGCTCTTTGACCCAGGCGGCTTCGGCAGACCCCTCAGTGGGGTTCCCAGCAGATAAGCAGGGGCTGCAGCCCCGCACACAAGCCCCACAGCGCTGCAGGCAATCCCTGCAGCGGCGAAAGCAGAAGGCAGCCCTGCACCAGTCCCACCCCCAGGGGCGCCAAAGGAGGCAGCAGGTTGGGGGCTCGGTGGCCGGTTCTGCAGAGCCTGAAATGAAGGTGATACTCTCTGGCCCGTGGTGGCCAGGATCCTTGGGGTCTGGCCTGCGGGTGCGGCGGCCTGGTGGGGGCTGGGAGCGCTCATCATTGGTTTCCAGGCATAGCTCTGTTGGCCTCTCCCAGGGACCCAAGCGTGGAGGCCCACTCGATGGGCGAGGCTGTCCGGGCCTGGGCATGACTCAGAGCATGGCTTGCTGCAGCCAGGCACCTGCAGGGGAGAAGCCAGGAGGATATCAGAAGCAGAGGTCAGAGACAAGCTCCTGGGCTGACCTGAAGAGTTTTAGACTCCTGAGAAGCCTGTGAGGAGGACAGATGGAGCATTCCGTAAACCCCTGCAAACGTTGAGCTCTTCTTGCCCCAAACAGAAAGTTCTCTTTGTGGTCTAACTAAGGCTTTACAATCTCCTGGACTTCTCAATGAATGGCTATTATTGAAAACAAAACAAAGAAAATTACAAGTGTCAATGCGGATGCAGAGAAATTGGACTTCTTGCACTTTGCTAATGGGGCTATGAAATGATGTAGGTGTTGTGGGAAACAGAACAGTTCTCCAAACTTTAAACACACAGGTTGGAAATGTAGCATGCATGGCCTACATAACATGAAGGAGGCGCTAAGTTCATTCCCAGTATGGCAAACAAAAAACATAAAAACGGGCTGGACAGATCACTCAGCAGTTAAGAATATGGGTTCAGAAGCACCTGTAACTCTAGTTCTAGGGATGTGACACCCTCTTATGTCTTCTGCCCACACTGCGCTCACTCCACATACATATACAAAAAAAAAATAAATTTTTTTTTTTAGATTTCTTTTATGTGTGTGAGCATTTTGCCTGTATATGTGTGTGTGCCACATGTGTCTGGTGGCCATGGAGGTCAGAAGAGGGTTGTAGGGGCTCTTGGAACTGGAGTTATGGATGGTGGTGAGCTATACTGTTGACTACTAAGATTTGAATCTTGGTTCTCTGGAAAAGCAACCTGTGATCTTAATGCCCAGCCATCTTTCTAGTCGTAATTAACTAATTCATTGATTTTCTGAGTCAGGGTTTCTCTTGTTCTGAAACTTACAGAGATCCACCTGTCTCTGCCTCCTGAGTGCCAGTCCTTATTAAGTTTAAAAATTATGTGTAAGTGGGGGCTCAACAGATGGCTTATGGTTAAGAGCACTGGCAGTTCTTCTAAAGGACTTGGGGTTCAATTCATAGCACCCATATGGCAGCTCACAACCTTCTTTAACTCCAGTCCTAGGGGATCGATCCAGTGCACTCCTCTGGCCTCTCTGGGCACTGCACACATGAGGTGCATAGATGTATATTCAGAGAAACACTCATATACATATAAACAAATAAAAATCTCTGCTTAGAATAGTGGTGTACAGGGGCTGGAGAGATGGCTCAGAGGTTAAGAGCACTGGCTGCTCTTTCAGAAGTCCTGAGTTCAATCCCCAGCAACCACATGGTGGCTCACAACCATCTGTAATGAAGTCTGGTGCTTTCTTCTGGCAGGCAGGCATATACATAATAAATAAACTAATTAATTAATAAAAAATATTTAAAAAAAAAAGAATAGTGGTGTACAGAGGATCTCTGTGAGTTTGAGGCCAGCTTGGTCTACATAGTGAGTTCTAGGACAGCCAGGGATACATAGTGAGACCCAGTCTCAAAACGAAAATAACAAATAAATAAAATCTAAAAAAAAAAAAAAGTTTTTAACATCCCTCAAAGCTCCACAAAATTACTATATGACTTAGCAAATTCAATCCTTGGTTTATATCCAGGAGAACTGAAAGTAGCAACTTTATTTTATTGGGTTTTTGTTTTGTTTTGTTTTGTTTTTGAGACAGGGTTTCTCTGTAGCTTTGGACCCTGTTCTGGAACTAGCTCTTAGAGACCAGGTTGGGCTCAAACTCACAGAGGTCCGCCTGCCTCTGCCTCCCGAGTGCTGAGATTAAAGGTGTGCGCCACCACAGCCCAGCTGAAAGTAGCAACTTTAAACAGACATTTGTATGTCAATGTTCATAGTAGTATTATTTACAATAACCATAAAGTAAGATCGATCCAAAAGTTCATCAGTGGGTGGGGGGAGGGGCTTCCCGAGGACCCGGGTTTGATTCCTAGCATCTACATGCCCACAAACAACCAATTGCAAGTGTAGTCAAAGAGGATCTGACATCCTTTTCTGACCGCCACAAGTGCTGCATGCAGGTAGTGTGCAGACACATATGCAGGCAAAACATGCACATCAAATGAAAATAAAGGTTAAAAAATTAAAAAGTATATTATATCAACAGATGAATCGACTCATAAAATGAAACATTTTTGGGATATCATTTAGACCTTAAAAAGAATGAAATTCTTAGCCGGGCGGTGTTGGTGCAAGTCTTTAATCTCAGCACTCGGGAGGCAGAGGCAGGCGAATGTCTTAAGAGTTCAAGGCCAGCTTGATCTATAAGAGCTAGTTCCAGGACAGCCACCAAAGCTATACAGAAACCCTGTCTTGAAAAGCCAAAAAAGAAAAAAATATTCTTTTGTGCTTTGACATGGATAAGCTTTCAAGACATTCTAAATGAAATAAGTTACACAAGAAAGAACAAATACTCTATTGTCTAGCTTATATGAACTCTCCACAACTACCAGTTTAACAGATAGAGAGAAATAGTGTGGTGGATGCTAGGGGCTGACACATAACGTGAGTTATTATGTTGAATGGATACAGAATTTCAGCTGGGAAGGTCTCATAGCTCTGGAAGGTGAAGATGTATTTAATGCCACAGGATGGCGTGCTAAAACATGGCACGTAAAAGATTAAAATGGTAATTTTCATGTATATTTTCCCACAAAGAAGGTGAGCTGTGCAGGGACCTTACTTCCTGAGGACTGTCCCCACTTTCCTGCTATCACTGAGCCCGGTGCAGGCCTCTGTTCAACAGACAACTCTCTGTCTGCCTTGCCATAATCAACAACACTGCCCCTCCTTCCTTCATACCCATCATCCTGGGCACGGGCATGAATGGGTCTCCCGTCATACTCAGATGTGCCCTCCTAGAAACATTTGCCATCAAGAAGGTTTCTCTTTTTCTTTTTGGAGAGAGAAGGATTGGTTTTGTTAAGACAAGAGGGTCTCATGTTGCCAGTTAGGCCTCAAATTTGCTAGGTAGCCAAAACTGCACTTAAATTCCCAGTCCTCCAATCTCCCTTCTCATGTCCTGGGATTAAAAGAGTGTACTACCTTGCCTGGCAACACCAACCAGTTTTGGTTCCTTGTCACAAAAATAATTCTCATGGACTAGGGAGATGGCTCACCAGGTGAGAGCACTAATAATGAAAACCCATGTGAAAGCTGGATGCAGTGATGACATCTGTAATCCCAGCACTTCTATGGTGAGATGGGAGAGAGAGGACTGTCTGGAAGCCCACGGGCCAGCCAGCCTGGAGTGCACAGCACGGCACAGCACAGCACAGCGCAGCAGCAGAAATGAGAGACTGCTTCCACAAGGTGGAAAGTGAGAACTGGCTCTTTTTATTGTTGGTTTGTTTGGTTTTGAGACAGGGTTTCTCTGGGTAGCTTTGGAGCCTGTCCTGGAACTCACTCTATAGACCAGGCTGCCCTTGAACTTACAGAGATCCACCTACCTCTGCCACCCCTCCCCCCCACCCCAGTGCTGGGATTAAACATGTGCACCACCATTGCCCGGCTAGAACCAACTCTTAAAAGCTGTCCTCTGACTTCCACACATGTACTCCTTCAAGTGCAGACATAGACCTAAGATAAGAGAGTCAATAAAAAAGAAAACAGCTTTGTCTTAAAATAGTAATACTGATCTTCATTTCTCTTCGGGTTTATGTGCTAGGTATCTCAGAACTACAACTGTTTTACTGATGAACACTGAGCCTGGCCATGTGTCAGGAAAGGCAAAACCAAATATAAATCAACTATACATGCTGTACTTGATGGTTCAGTTTCTAGAAAAGCTTCTAAGACAAGCGGAGTACAATAATATCTGTTTGAAAACCTAGCACTTGGGGGATGGAGGCAGGACTAGTAGTTCTGGGTCATCCTGCACTACAAAGTGAGTTCCAGGCTAGCCAGCCCAGTACATGAGATCCTATAAAGAAGAGAAGAGAAGAGAAGAGAAGAGAAGAGAAGAGAAGAGAAGAGAAGAGAAGAGAAGAGAAAAGAAAAAAAGCTAGCCAGACATGTGCTTGGTTTTTGGGTTTTTGTTTTTGTTTTTTTCCAAGACAGGGCTACTCTCTGTAGCCCTGGCTGTCCTGGAACTCCCTTTGTAGACCAGGCTAACCTCAAACTCACTGAGCTCCTCCTGCCTCTGCCTCTGAAGTGCTGGGATTAAAGGCGTGCACCACCACTGCCCGGCAGTACTCACAATTTTAATGCCAGCACGGAGTAGGGTCAGTAGAAGACAGTGATCTCTGTGAGTTTAAGATAAACTGGTCTATGTAGAGGGCCCTAATCCAGCCTGGGCTATGTAGTGAGGCTTTGTCTCAAAACAAAACAAAACAAAACAAACAAAAACCAAAAACCTCCTAGGATGAAGCAGGTGGAATTGAGTAAATCACCATGGGACCCTAAGAGACAATGTAGTGCCATACTCAGGAAGGCCTTAACCACACTTAACTGTCCTTAGCCTGTATTTTGAGCCACCATGTGGGTGATAGGAATTGAACCTGGGTCCTCTGGAAGAGCAGCCAGTGCTCTTAACCACTGAGCCACCTCTCCAGCCTCCTACCCTTTTCTGAGATGCTGACACTATCCTTTACCCCTGATTTAATCACTATGGAGTCCTATATAAAATTTATTTTGAGACAGGGTTTCACTATGTAGCCCTAGCTGTACTTGCTAAGTCGACTGGGCTGGTCTTGAACTTACAGAGATCTGCCTGACTCTACCTCCTGAGTGCTGGAATTAAAGGTATGCCAGCTGAACCAACAGATATATACATTTCTAGGGGAAACAAAATAGCCTAGTATCTTTGCTTAGGAAGCAGACTATAGTTCTTAGAGGTAAAGGAACACATATCTGCTGTGTGATCATCAATGGTTTATACCAGCCTACCAGCACATGCCTGGAGAGCTCATGTAGAGATAGATAGACAGAGAGACAGGCAAGGAATATTCGCTATGCTGGATGAAGACACAGTTCTTCCTGAATTTTTTACAGTTTCTGGTACCCACTCAGCTCTCCTTCTCTAGGGGACCTCGAGGAGTCCTAGCTACATGAGCTCCTTTTCCAGACCCTTCTGCTGAGGGCTCTTGATGACTGGGTCAGCCTTGTACTCACTGCTTTGGGATAAGCCTAAATCCCCAGGGACTTTGAGCTTAAAGGTCAGCCTCCTTTCTGCTTCAATGCCTAGAACAAGGTCAGTCTGGGAAGGTGTTAGTATGGCACAAGACACATTCTGTGTGACTTTATGGTGGAAAGACAAAGGACTTAGGCTCCAGGAAGACCAGAGCAGGAGCCGGCACTCTTAGCGAACTATGTATACCTATGTGGTTCCCATCTTTGGAAGTCTATAAACTGAAGGAGGTATTTCCCCCTTGGAACACCTCTCACCCTTCTGCTCAGTTACAAAAGAAAAGGTATAGAAACTGAAACTGTAGTGAGTGATTTAGAAGTGTTTCACGAGGGAATGTGGTGGCACACACCAGTCACCCTTGTCCCATGAAGGCTGAGGCAAGAGGATTGTGACTTTGAGACTAACAAAGCAAGACCCCATCTCAACAGAACAAAATGTTCTTCACAATTCAGAGGGAAACAACTAAATGCTTGTCCTGATTTGATCAACATGAGGTTGGGCATGGATCCATTCAGCCATTTAACAAATGTTGAGGCCCTACTGTGCATCCTAAAATCTAAGGACACAGCAGTAAAACAGACTAACTCCCTAGCCTCGATTTATATCCCATTGAAAGTTATTACTCACAGCTTCTATCACCATAAACATATTGCTTGTAATAAATCTATTAATTCTCAAGGAATTCTTAGTATTATTCCACTATACTAAGGCAGAAAACTTAAGTAAGTTGTCCAAAGCCAGATTCCCCCACCACACCCCCACACCATACAGTTTTTCTGTCTAATAGTCCTGGCTGTCTTGGAACTTGCTCTGTAGACCAGAGTGGTCTCGAACTCTGCCTCCTCAGGGCTGGAATTACAGGCGTGTCCACCCACCCCCTTTTGTTTCTTGAGATAGGTTCTTATGTATCCCGGGCTGGCCTCAGACTCATTGTGCACCTTGGGATAAGAGTGACTTACTGATCCTCCTGCCTCAAGTGCTGGTTGATGCAGAGCTGGGGCTCTGACTCCGGGTCTCATGCATGCCAAGTGCTCTACCAATAGAGCTCTATCCCAGCCCACAAACACACTTCTGTTTGTACTCATTGACCTGGCCTCAGACCCTCGACCACTCCTACCCATGTCCTCCACTACCCCACCCCATCTGTGGACTTGTGAGGAAAGAGCCAGTTAGGGCTGCCAGCACGAGCTGGCATCCTTTGAGGGCTTGCAACTGGAGTGTTTCCCAAATCAGCCACTCTCAGCATCACACCAAGCTGAACTTTGTGGGTCTGTGGGAGTATCATGGTTACCGACACTGGGCTGGGACACTGTCTCTTTCCTCATCATCAAGGGCTTAGGACTGACTACTGTAGGGTATGTTCATATCCAACAAACACATTTACCATGGGTCAGCACCGTGCTAACTACTGAGGAAACAGCAGCAAATGGCTCTGGCCAGAGAGCATTCCCATTACTTACAACTACCATGTGAGTAATTTACCTTCACTCCACAGCCCAGGAATCTGAAGCTCAGAGGAGGGGTTAGAGCAAGATGGCAAACTGTTGTGTGGTGGGCTAGGGCTCTTCAGCCCAGGTACCTTGTTCTGTGCCACATCTCCAGTCAGGGAAGAACGGGGACAAAATGGGCAAAGCCTAGGATAAACCAAGGATGGCGGCTCACTCAGGTAAGCCCAGCACTGAAGAGCCTGAGGCAGGCAGATTCCCTGGAGTTCAACAAGATCAGCCTGGGCTACAAAAGAGAGACCCTGTCTTAAATCCTAACAACCAACCAATCAGCCTTCCTACTTGTGGTGTGATAGTGTCTGGTCTCAATGTCCCTTCCAATGGCCCATTCATTCCAGGCTACATCTTCCTTTCCCCATCAGGGTCCCTGCTCCTCCCCCTCCTACCAATTCAGTAACACCGGTCACCTAATATAGTGGGGCCAATTCTCACCTCTCTTTTAGCTTGGAACAAGACTCTTGGTCTCCGTTTCGTCATCTTTAAATAAGTTCCCCTTAGAGTAGTTAGGTGGCCCATGCCCCTAAACCCAACACAAGACAGTATGACAAGGAGCCTGGGCCATATGAGACCCTATCTCAAAAACAAAAACTAAATATATACTTAATTAAATTGAATATAATTAAAAATAAATACATAAAAAATTAACCAAAGTGAAATAAAATACAAATAAAATTTGAAAATCCCATCTGCCTGAACGGAAGAAATTAGTGTCTTTATAGCGCTCCAATGAGGCATTGGTGTTTAGCGAGAGCCTGGGAAAACGGGCTCAGTCACCCTGCATTCGAAGGCATCACAAGGATGCTCGAGGGTCTGGTGGCCCCAGGACTCTCTGACTTCTCGTGGTCTTGGCCTTTCCGCCAGTCCCCGCAAACACACACATACTCGGGGCTCTCCACGGGCTCTCTCCCTGCGTCCACAGGACGGACTGGCTGCACCGACCTCTCTGCCCAAGCAAGCTTCGGGTCACTAAGCCGTGGTCAGCTGAGCTCGAGCGCAGGGCACGGGGCACCCCCACCCCTAGGCACAGCCTCAGCTTCCCTCCTCTGCAGGTACCGGGTACGCATTGCCGTCGGGGCGCGCACGGCCTTTCTCGCCGCGAGCGCCATTGCGTGCGAGTCCGGACGCTGTTCCACTTACGATTCCTGCCACGGCTCCGAAGTGCCCGGCCCCAGTCCCCAGGCCTCCCGGCCCGGCCCGCCCA